ATACGTCTGGGTGAGCCGCCACAGCGGATGTCAGCAGGAACGCGCAATGAAACTGCTACAAATGTTGGCGTCCGTGCGCTGCGGCATACACCGCAATTGCCACGCGTTGCTGCGTTAGGGTCGTTTACGTGCCCCGCTCACCTGTGCTGCAGATAACCAGTCCGCCGTCGCCATTTGCGGCCCCAGACTGTGTATTCACAACGCCTAGTCGGGTCATGCCAAACGTTTTGTCTAAGAGGCGCCCTTGCTTTCAGAGCTGCGAGCGATTGAAGTGCACTTCGAGGACTGTCACTCCCCCTCTTGCACTCAGTCTCCCATCCTCCTCCTCCTCCTCCTCCTCCTCCTCCTCCTCCTCCTCCTCCTCCTCCTCCTCCTCCTCCTCCTCCTCCTCCTCATCCTCCTTTTACAAGTGGAGAGCGGCAGCTACTGCAGCGGGCCAAGGGGGCAAACAAAACAGTTCAAAATGCTATTTCAAGTTCAGCGATGCCGGCCAAGCTCAGCAACTCGAATGTACTTTGGCGCGGCACTAGTGATTACTTGATGGGCTGAGGCTACCGAAGCTTGGTGATGGGGCACATCTTTACAAGATCGCGGAAATGTTTCGCAAGCACTGTTTATGCAATCTGGGTGCGCGAAATCCTCCGCCAAACGCACGCCGCGCTCCGTAGAACATGCGTGGCGTTCCTGCTTTGCCCAGTTTCGACCGAGAGAGCAGATGGCTCTTGGCTGGGCGGGTCGAGTCGGGCAGGCGAGACATTCGGGAATGATACGTTAGTCGACTTGGCAGGCTGCCTCCGCAGCCGTCGAGCCCAGGACCAGAAGTCATTGCGCCGACCTTGCAAACGTGCCGCAGCGGATTTATTGTGCGGGTTTCTGCCACTGCAAAACCTCGAAGCGGCGCGCGAAAGACGACGTGAACTGCACGTGGATCTGTTGTAGTCTTCACTCCTGGCCGAAATAAAAGTCTGCACGGAACTCACTTAATCCGGAACAGAATTCTCCAGGACACTCCGGGCCCCTCCTTCGAACAACATCCGCTCTGCGATGGTGGCGCAGTGAAGCGAGGCGAGGCGAGGGCGCCACAGTCGGGCACGCAGGTGTGCCCGCGCCCTGCTGGGCAGGGCGCAGGAGGCCGTGGCCTCAGATCGTGCCCGAATAGACGTCGTGAACGCAGTTCCTCAAGATCCAGCGCACAAGCCAGGCAAGGAACGATGTGCGTGCGAGAACCAGACAACCATGACCAGAAGACGACGAAGCGCCGCAGGCAGAGGTGGCCGACTGGCTGCCGCCACCCGGGGACCCCCCCGGGCCCTCGAACCCTGCCTGGGGCCGCGCGGCGGCACCACGCGACGAGGGAGCCAACGGGCCCGACGGACCCGTCGGCGGCCACAGGAGGCTGCCAGTCGGGCCTGTCCCTCCACAGGAGGATTCGTTTTTTAACTTGCCAAAACTTGAGGGATGAAAAAACCCTGGGTTACAAGTGCGTGGTTTGCAAGCCTCCTGGGAGACCCCAAAGCCTAGAGCCGCCAGGGCGCGGCACATCACGCAGGGTGTACCCTGTCAGCCAACAGGGGTTTCAGCGCACAGCGCCTCGTAAACCAGGGCAGGGGCGTTTTTTTATGCCCTTGAACAAAAACAGTCTGGGGACGAGTGCTTGCCTGGCTTTGATCATTTTCTGACCATATTCTCGCCACTGCTCACTTCCCGTCCAGGAGTCCGCCCGCGGGGGGACACGGCCCGCCCGAAGCACGGGAGGCCCCGCAACACTCCTCGAGCCGCGGCGCGCGGCCGCGCGCGGCACGGAGCGCGGGCCACCTCCCGGGGCCCCGCCCCCGCGGGGGGGGGCGGGGCCACGGGCCCGCTCTCTTCGGCTACACGCAAGAATGACCCTGGGCAAGAGTGACCTTTAGTGCGCGGCTTTTTGGAGACCAAACCTGGGCGCGCAAGCCGCTGCTACCGCTTCGTTTCCAGCCACCTGAGAACCCATCTATGCCCACACCAAAGGTCACTCCGGCGAAAGGTCACGTTTGCTTCTAGTCGAAAAACAGTCTGGGGACGAGTGCTTGCCTGGCTTTGATCATTTTCTGACCATATTCTCGCCACTGCTCACTTCCCGTCCAGGAGTCCGCCCGCGGGGGGACACGGCCCGCCCGAAGCACGGGAGGCCCCGCAACACTCCTCGAGCCGCGGCGCGCGGCCGCGCGCGGCACGGAGCGCGGGCCACCTCCCGGGGCCCCGCCCCCGCGGGGGGGGGCGGGGCCACGGGCCCGCTCTCTTCGGCTACACGCAAGAATGACCCTGGGCAAGAGTGACCTTTAGTGCGCGGCTTTTTGGAGACCAAACCTGGGCGCGCAAGCCGCTGCTACCGCTTCGTTTCCAGCCACCTGAGAACCCATCTATGCCCACACCAAAGGTCACTCCGGCGAAAGGTCACGTTTGCTTCTAGTCGATCTCTGGCCCCTGGCGGGGCGCCCCCCGGGGGGAGGGGGGGGGGGGGGGGGGGGGGGGCGACTCTCAGGGGGGCGCCCGCCACTCCGACCGAGCGCAGGCTCCGTTCAGGCTCGCAGGTCGCGCCCGTCGCCCCGAACGGCCGCCTGCGGCTCGGGCTCGCGCCCGGCAGGAGCTGAAGACGAGCTGGATGAGGGCGCGCGCGCGTCCTTGCTGGGCGCGCTGCCTGCATGGGCGCCCCCCCGCCCCGCCGCATCGGAGCTCTCGCGGGTGGAACTCGCCGCCCGCCCTCCAGCCGATCCACGGGGGCGAGTGCTATAGGTCGGGCGTGCGCTCCTGCAGGCGGATTCTGGACGAGGGATAAGAAATAGCCAAACCGTACATGCTCAAAAAGAATCAGACCGATAGTCCAACAAACCGTCCCCTGACTATTCTCTACGATGCTTGGATACTCCTCCTGTGGAGGGACAGGCCCAGCCTGAGGCGAAGGCTCCGAGGCTCGCGCCGCGCCGCCGTGGTCGAGGCTCTGCCGTGAGCGCGGCCGGGGACGCTCTGCCCCGGCGGGGCAGCTCTCGTTGGCTCGGGGCAGGAGGGCAGCGTCGGCGTGGAGATCGGATTCGACGGGCATGCCTCCAGCGCCGCTGGGCCCCCGTCGAGTGCGTGCGGGTCGTGCTCCGAGAGCAAGAAGATCCCCCCCCGCGAGCACCCTCGAAGTCCAGGCCGCCAGGCTCCGCCGCGACCCACTGGGAGAAACGACTCATCGACTCGATCTCTTTCTCCCGCACCAGAAACCGCTGCGCCAGACGGTGGTCCTAGTGCCTTCGACGCCTGTGACCTGACATCCTGCGATGCGAAGGCCACCTTCGGCTGGCGCTGCTGGCAGCCGACCCAGAGAAGGGGGTTGGCTTCGCTGCTGGCGCCGCTGCTTCCCCTCTGCCGCCGAGGTACTCAGTCGAGGAACCCGTTGGATGTATCGACGTTACCTTCACCTGCTCATTATGCACCAGCTTTGCCTTCTTTGCCTCCAGCAAAGGGCTCCATTCGAACTCGCTTGCTCGCAATCGCTGTACATGGCTTGCGCGCTCAACTTTGATACTCTCGACATCTTCCATGGCGGTCTGGAACAGCGCTTTCGTAGCCGCCGGCATCTGTACCTGAACCTGCTACTCCCTTGGCTGCATCTCACGCACATCTTCTGGAATGAGCCTCTACTCGTTATCGCCCTTGAAGAAGAACTCGAAACCGATGAGGCTCGTGCAATCGCTCTTCCCGTCAACGAAGTGCGCCACAGATACATTTGCCTGGCCACTATTGGACTCCTGAGCCTCTCGTTTGGGCCACGGCCTCAACCGACTCCGACACGACCTTGGCGTACTCGGCACCCGCCTCCTGCGAAGTACTCTCGATCTTGCGGGCGCACGCTCACTGAATCTAAACCAATCTCTGTACAACTCGACCTTGCCCACTTCCACTGCTAAGATCTCTTCCAATTCCTGCACTCTGGCGTGCGACCGCTGAGCCCACTCCGGAACCGTAAGCTCAGGTCCCTTACGAAGCTCATCCAACTGCTGACCGTACTCTGCCACGGTGGTTTGGTGACCCCGCTTCTCGGCCAGGCTCATGAATCGCGAACTGGGCAACTGTGGGCGAGGCTCCATGCGGTCTCCTTTCCGCGGTGAGGCTTGGCAGAACTGGGGTTCCCGAGCCTGCCCCATTGTGACGAGAGAGCCCGCCTCCTGCCGCGGGGAATTCTTCCGATCACTGCCACCAGCTGCCAGGAAAAACAGGGGTCGTAACATCCGTAGGCGCCTCTGGGCGCCGCTCGAAGCAGTGCTTGCAGTAGGTGTACGGTGTACGACTCAAGATCCCTCCTGCACCCGCAGAAGCCACACTCCCACCCTAGGAACTGCCTTCATCCCGAGCTCCTACTCCCCTAACCTCAGCTCCGCGAGGGGCAGCGCATCGCGGCTAAGGTCCTCTGGTGCCACGACCACTACATTTCCCACGGCGTTCGGCCCAGGGCTCTCACTCTCGCCATGGCCACTTGGACCGTCGCCACTCGGGCGTGCTGGCCATCGCGCTGGAGGAGAATTGGCTTCACAACTCTCTGGAGCCGTCCTGTTACGACGGAACACCAGCGCTATCAGAGAGATGCAGTAAGATACGTGTGTACTAACGCGCGCGGGCCGGAGACACCACAGGAAAGCCCGACAGGCAAGCTGATCACCTGTGGTGCTCTGAGGCGGGGGATCATGGATCCCCGACACGGCCTTGCGCCAAAATAGTTACGGATTACACTTGCCATCTTCTTCCTCCTCCCTCCCTCCGTCCCTTCCTCCTCCTCCTCCTCCTCCTCCTCCTCCTCCTCCTCCTCCTCCTCCTCCTCCTCCTCCTCCTCCTCCTCCTCCTCCTCCTCCTGCTCCTGCTCCTCCTTCCCCTCTTCCTCCCCCTCCCCCTCCCCCTCCCCCTCCCCCTCCCACCTCCATCCTCCCTCTTCCTCCCTCTTCCTCCTTACTTCCCACCCTTCCTCCTCGGGAGCCCCCCCCCTGCGCCTTCCAGGCGGCCGGCGATTGCAGCTGCTGGGCCGTAGCCAGCGGCGAACCGCACGTCGCTGCCGGCGCCTCGTCGGAGCCGCAGATCATGCACCGGTGTTCCTGTTGGGCGTCGGGGGGGCGGCCCTGGTTCTGCGACGCCTCGAGACAGCGAGTGGGAGGAGGAGGAGGAGGAGGAGGAGGAGGAGGAGGAGGAGGAGGAGGAGGAGGAGGAGAGAGCGGCGCCCGGGCTTCGGAGCTGCGTCCCTCCAGGCATCGCCTCGCCACCCCTCCCTTCTCGTGCGCTCGTCTGTAGGGCCTAGGACCTCTTCGGGGGCGTCCAAGAGGGGGTCGTCCAGAAGGGGGGTCGCAGAGCACGGCCCGAGGCCAAGGGGGGAGGCAAAGAGATGCATCGAAATAGGAAGAGCCATGATAGCCCGGCCGCCCCCAGTCATCAGGTCAACAGGCGCACCCCGGAAATCTTGACGGAACCCGGAACCCGGAACGAGGCGGAACCCAGAATCGGCCCAGAACTCGGAGCCGCGAGACGGAACCCAGAGTCGCCGAGAGGAAACCCAGAAGCACCAAGAACTTTTCACCCCCAGCACCGGAGTTCAGAGCCTCTCTCCTCCTCCTCCTCCTCCTCCTCCTCCTCCTCCTCCTCCTCCTCCTCCTCCTCCTCCTCATCATCATCATCCTCCTCCTCCTCTTTCACCTCCTCCACCTCCACATCTTCCTCCGCTCGTCCTCCTCCCCATCCGCCTCCTCCCGCTCCCTCGTCCTCCCCCCTCGCTCGCCCCCCCGAGGCGGCCGTCAAACCAACCTCTGCCTCTCAAACCGCGCATCGCCCCGCACTCTCCCCTCGTCCCTCCTCTCATCCCATCTCCGCTTGCATCCCCCCTCTCACTTCCACTTGCTCGCCTCCCTTCCGCCCCCCCCCCACCCTTCCCGTCCTCCACCACCACCGCCACTACTCGTCCACATCCCCATTCTCCTCTTCCCTGCAGCGAGCGGCGCCTGTTCTCGAGCGCCCGCTGCTGCCACGCCAGCCGATCCGCATATCAGAACGATTCAAGCCAGCGGCCAGACACCCGAGAGTCCAATTCTCGACATCTAACTACCCGAAGGCCCGATGCGGCCAGATCACGCAATCCCCCCAACCCCCCTGGGCGTCGGTGGTTTAGAGCGTTCCCTCTTCCACCCCTCCTTCTTCCCCTTCGGGGAGGGGTTTACCCCTCCCCCTACCCCCTCCCCATGGACCTGGACAGGGGGTTCTGCGAATCGTCGGAGCGTCCAAAGCGGCCTCGGCGAGGAAGTCAAAAACATTGGTGTTACTAGGGTTTTGGCCCCATTTTGGCCTCCTGGGGGGGGGGGACGCTAATTAATGCTCCCCTCTTGTTTGATCGATCTCCTCCAAGATGGCCCCAAGAAGCGCCCAGGAGGCCCCAAGAGGTCCCAAGATGGCCCCAAGATGGCCCCAAGAGGCCCCCAAGAGGCCCCCAAGAGACCCCCCAGAGGCCCCAAGAGACCCCCCGGGGGCACCCAAGATGCTCCAAGAGGCCTCGGCGAGAATGCCAAAACGGCCTCGGCGAGGAAGCCAAAACCATTGGCTCAAGTCTGCATCAAGCATCAAGCACAGTCTGCATAGCTTACTTTCTAGCACAGCACTCACAGCTTACAGCTTATCTGCCAAACGACGGGCATCGGCCGTTGCTCCTCTGCCCCATCCAGGTTTGGACTCGCCCGGGAAAGAGTCGTCGTGGCCAGTGCGCAGCCGGCGGCGGCATGCAGCCACAGTGGAACTTCAAAATTCGGTAATGAGTCAATGTGTTGAAGTTTTCCGCCGATTGGATTCCATAGATGCACGCATTACTCCTCTCAAGCGAAGCATGATCCAGACAATGTTGCGCAACAGATTGAGAACAACACCAACACTTTGGTGGAGATCGAGAAGAGAGTGCGCAATATGGAATTAATGTTGTTCCGCACTAGTTTGCATGATTTTCAATACTTTGATGCGCTGGTGGCCAAAAACATCGACAAACTTGATGAACATTGCAAGGGACGCGAAGAACCAGATGCCGAGAAATCGCCGAAGAAGGAGCCAGATTTCTTTGACAGGGAGGCCGCTTGTGAATCAAATTCTGGGAATGGATCATTTGCTGAAGCTGCAGTTCACGATATGTCAGACAAAGACGTGGCAGTTCAGACAACCATTTTGGAGGATAATCACGTTTCCCGCACTTCCCAAATTCAATCATACATTTCAGACAAGGATGTGGCAGTGCAGATAAACAGTTTGAGGGAAAATTACGCTTCACGTGCATCCCAAACTCAAGTGCTCCTCAAACCCTGGCGCTCACGGTGCAATGGTCGAGCAACGCAAACGGACATGATTGATACTTGCAACATGGGCGTGCAAGTATGCTCTGGAATGGCTTCGGTACCTCTGCCGACGCCGTCCGGGAGTACAACGAGCGAAAGTCTGACATACAGGCAAACACTTCGGATGTTGCGCCGGCAGCTCTAAGCACCAATAGGTTGATTGCACCCCAGACCAGAATGAAGGGCACGAGGGGTCGTTGATCATACTGAGCTTGAAAGGCCATATCTCAAAGGGTAGCCGTGTACAAAGTTTGCAGGGCGGCACTGTGAGATTGAGAGGTTTGGTGGGCAGCATTTCGAGACAGAATCCTCTATTCTTCAGTCCGGAGAAGACGCCGCTGACGCACCCGTGCTTTCTGAGTCAAAACTCGTGTGTTTGGTATGTTGATTGATCCAAGCATGCAGTTTCGCACCATTATGTGATTCCCCCCTCCCCCTCCCCCTCCGGCCCCCCTCCCTCTCTTCCCACCCCCAGCGCTTGCATTTGGCAAGCATGCGGGTCATGTCGCGAATTCTGTGCGTGCACCGGGCCGGACTCCATGGAGTGTATCTGCAACACTTTCGCATTTCCCCCCAATATGTTTTCATGGAATCCGTGAGCCAATCGTGCTCCTGTCGATTCCTTGCCGATGCGCCGTTGCCTGGCGCCTGGCTTGACTGACTGACTGACTTGGCCCCATTTTGGCCTCCTGGGGGAGGGGGGAACGCTAATTAATGCTCCCCTCTTGTTTGATCGATCTCCTCCAGGATGGCCCCAAGAAGCGCCCAGGAGGCCCCAAGAGGTCCCAAGATGGCCCCAAGATGGCCCCAAGAGGCCCCCAAGAGGCCCCCAGGAGGCCCCCAAGAGACCACCAAGAGGCCCAAAGAGACCCCCCAGAGGCACCCAAGATGCTCCAAGAGGCCTCGGCGAGAGCCAAAACGGCCTCGGCGAGGAAGCCAAAATCATTGGTTTTACTATGGTTTTGGCCCCATGTTGGCCTCCTGGGGAAGGGGGGAACGCTAATTAATGCTCCCCTCTTGTTTGATCGATCTCCTCCAAGATGGCCCCAAGAAGCGCCCAGGAGGCCCCAAGAGGTCCGAAGATGGCCCCAAGATGGCCACAAGGGGCCCCCAAGAGGCCCCGAGGAGGCCCCCAAGAGACCTCCAAGAGGCCCCAAGAGACCCCCAGAGGCCCCAAGAGACCCCCCAGAGGCACCCAAGATGCTCCAAGAGGCCTCGGCGGGAATGCCAAATCATTGATTGTACTAAGGTTTTAGCCACATGTTGACCTCTTGGGGGGGGGGCACTGATTAAGATTAAGAGCGCCTGGGACAGCCCAAAATGACCTCCAAGATGGCTCAAGATATCCCAAGATGTCTCAGAATGGCTTCCTCTGTGTGCTGCCCACTTCCCTGATCGAGGCAATTCCTCTGGGCATCGTTTCTGGATGGGCTGGTGGGGATTCGCGAAGCGTCATCAATTCCACGAAACAGCCTTACCGCCGTGGCACTGGAAACCACCACTGCTCGACAAGCAGTCGAGGCGCCTAAATCCACCTACCCGTTGGAATGTGGCTATCGGAAAAAAAAACATGGTTGGGGCGGTGGTAGTTTTCCGTGATATCTCGAAACAGCGATTATTATGCAGAAAAGATGGTTCCAGCTGCAGCTGTGAAGGCCAGAAGTGAAGCCACTCCCAGCAGAACTCCCCCCCTTCAGAAGCATCCTGAGATCCGCAGCTCCCAGGGACAAGTCGAACCACAGATGTTCAGGCTACAACCCCGTGCGAAAAGCAACTGGGGTTTTCGTGCACACCTCCCCCCCCCCACCCCCCAATTTCAATGTTCAACGCGGGGTCGATTTTTTTTCGAACTTCGCTGGTCGCACGATGAACATTGAAATTCGGGGGCCGGGGGGCTCACCAAACCCCAGTTGCTTTTCGCACGGGGTTGTAGGAGCGCCACACGATGATCACACACAACTACCGTGGAAGCCATATACAGATCAAACAACATCTCAAGGCGTTCCCGATCGAGGCCGGACCATGCAGGGTGGGCGCGCGAGAGCAGGGCGCCCGCCAAACCGAACCTCCTCGCTCCTCCTCGTTCCTCGTCGTCCCTATCGTCCTAAATCCGATCCTCCCCATCCACTCTTCTCGTTCCTCCTCTTCATCCTCCTCCTCTTCCTTCTCCTCCTCTTCCTCCTCCTCCTTTTTGTCCTCCTCCTCCTCCCTCCTCCCTCCTCCTCCTCCTCCTCCTCCTCCTCCTCCTCCTCCTCCTCCTCCTCCTCCTCGTTTGTCCTCTCACGACTCCTGCCCTCCTCCTCCCTCCTCCCTCATCCTCCTCCTCCTCCTCCTCCTTCTCCTCCTCCTCTTCGTTATCCTCCCTCCTCCGTTCTGCCTCCCCTCCCTGCTCCCTCCTGCAGTTTCCCTCCTGCCTCCTCCCTCTCCTCCCAGCCTCCCTTCTCGTTCCTCCCTCCCCCTCCCTCCTCCCTCGTCTATGAACTCGGCACGCGCCAACGCCTGCAAAGCTGAAAAAAAACAACTATTCCATTCCACTTGTTACATGGCGACGCCAGCGGGCGACTAACAATACTCACTTTAACTGCCATGTGGCAGCGGCTGGGAACAAAACATCATCTACTCCACTCAACTCACCACGTGGCAACGCTTGAGGGGCGGGGGTAGTACTCGTTCACTCGATTCGCCACGTGGCACTGCCGGGGGAACGAATCAGAGACTGCTCCCTTCATCGCCACGTG